GGCGTCATAGGACTCACTAATGACCCAGCAGGCCTGCTGGAGTCACCTGTCAGGGGATGTTGAGCCGTGAGGAAGGGACAAGATCCTCTGAAGGCAAAGGGAGAAGAGGCACAAAGAGGCCTGTGAGGCACAGGGGAGAAATCAACCCTGGCCAGGCTCCTTCCTGCAGCCTGCATGGAGGAAGACAACCAGGTCCTTTCTTCTTGGCCAGCTTTGTCTTATGGAAAGAATTAAAAGAGGTAGGAAAGAAATTAGCTCATAAAATAATCAAGAGTGATCTTTCCTTATAATCACAATGGTACTCAGGGAAACCATCCATCCCCAAAATACTAAAAGCCTCAACTGCTTCACATGTGAACTCTGAAGTCTGAAGCCAAATTCTCATCCAAACACTACCTAATCAGACCTGGGTGAGGCTTGAGGCAGGGTGCCTCTCCACAAAAATTCCTCTAAAGCAATTGGCCTATGAAACCACACAGGTTGTATGCTTCTCTTACTGTGGTGGACAGGCATGGGATGGACGTTTCCTCTCCAAAGGGAAGAAGGAGGGTGGGTCCAAGCAAATCCAAGAAGCACAGGGCAAATGCCATGGGGCCTGGGAACCTGTCAGAATCCCCCGGGCTCATCACTCGGCCTCAGGCAGGATGGATTGGCAGTGTGGCCAGTGGCTCTCCCGGAAGGGGCCCTCTGAAACCCGGAGGAAGCAGTTTCACCCCAGCCTGGGATCTCTGCACCAGCTCAGGACTGCACTGTCCCTTTCTGAAGGCTCCATCGCCTTCCCTGTGCCCATTGATCCAGGCTGGCCATGCCCACTGCACTCCAGGCCTCTTCCTGATTAGACTTGGAGTTCACACCCAAAGTTTCCTCAACACTTAGCTGTCCAGCTGAGCCCTTTCTGAATTTTTGCAATATGATCAGGCTGAGAATTTTCGAAATCTTAAGGAGGATGGCAATTTGAGGCCAGCAATATTTTGTGTTAAAAAGTATCTCTAGAACCGGGCACACCAGCACCAGTGACACCCACCTGTAATCCCAGCACTTGGGAGGCTGAGGCAGGAGGATTGCCATGAGTTTGAGACTAGCCTGGGTTACACAGTGAGTTCAAGGGCAGCCTGAACTACATAGTGAGACTGACTAAAAAAACCCAAAAAAGGGCCAGGGATTTAGCTCAGTGGTTCCGATGTCTGTCTCTCAAGCGCAAGGTCCCAAGTTTGATCCCGGCTACCAAAAATCAAACAAACAAAAACACCAAAATATAAAATTTTGAAAAAATAATAAACCAGCATAAAAATTTTGAAAAATAGATTTCTAAAAGAACTGGGGTGTGTGTAATTCAGTGGCAGAGCTAGTTAGCACATGTGAGGTCTTGGATTCAGTCCCAAATACAGCAACAACAACAACAACAACAAAAATCTCAATCAGCCTTTTGGCTAAGATCAAGTATAAAAAAAAAAAAAAATCCCCCCAGCTAAATATCCAGTTTCAAGCCTTGCAAGTCCCACTTTCCACAGACTTGAGAGCCAGAGAAGGAAGCTGCTGGCCACTCCACGGAGAGGCTCTTTCCTCCGTGAGTGCCGCGCTCCTCGTCCCACTGACCCTCAGCACAGCCTCCGCGACAGCCCCTTTCTGCTGAGACTGCACCTCATGTGACTGGCGCTCCCTCAGACACAGCGCTTTCTCCTTCCCAGGCCTGGCCAGGGTCGCTCCACCAACTGTATGCTGACCTCGGACCCGACCACCTGGCTTTCCCCAGCTCCTCCTCTGCCCTCCACGGCTGCTGTCATCCCCTCCAAAGCCGTGCTCACGATTCCAGGCACTTTGCTTTTTAGTACCAACATACTGGCCTGCTCAGGCTGCGTGGAGCACAGTACCACAGACTGGGCGGCTTGGACGTGCTGCAGGCTGGAGGGCAGGTCTGGGTGCCACTGATATGGGTGCTGTGAGGGCTCTTGCTGCCCAAAAGATGTCTACCCTCTTGTGTTGTCTTCACATGGCCTTTCTTGGGTCCTAGAGAGCTCTTTCCTCTCCTTTCACAGGGGCATGATCCTGTTAGGCCCAGTCTCACCTTTGTGGGTTTATTTAGGCCAATTATAGAAGTCCCATCTCCGTCAACCACACTGGCATTAGGGCTTCAATACATGAATTGTGGAGGGACACAAACTCTCAATCCATAACAAGAATCATCAAGGGAAGAGTAACTCTTTAGGGAGAGCTGAAAATTAGAGCACTTTCATTTAACCACCGCACACTTCAAGCCTGTTTAAAGTCCTGAATGATTTCCAAGGGTGTCTGGTTCTTTCATGCTAATGACTGTGGCATCCTGCATTCAAGATCCCACAACACAGCTTGTGACGTCACAGGCTTCTGCTCTGGTCCCAACCAGGTGGGCAATGAGGCTGATGCACCCTGCTCAGACTGGAGATTGGCTCTGGGCAGTGGCTCCTGGAGGGCCGGGTGTAGGCGACAGGATCCATACACTGAGCACAGAGCTGAGGAGGTGGGAGAGGTGGTCTCCTGGAAAAACACTGCAGGACTTCTAGGGGGCTGAATGGAGCCTGATCCTCCTTCCCTTCCAGCTGTGTTCTGGACATCCTCTCTCCCCACACTATCACCACAATAACACACATCGGATTGCCAGATTGCCCCTGAGTCACAGGGTGGATACGTTCCACAGGCCATGCCTGGGAGGGCCCTGGGCCCTGGACCCTCAGTGCTCAAGGTGTCCACTTCCAGAGGGATCCCTGGACCTTGACCTGCTTGCTAAAGTCACCCCTGGGAAGCCAGGACTTCAAAACAAGTGACCCCCCCCCAGGGGCTTCTGCCAGAGCTGGTCAGTAAGGGGGGCCCAGCTTCACAGCCCTTCAAGGTCAGGCTCAGTGCTGAGCCTGGACAGGCCCAGCTCTGCTGCTCTCTGCACCCCTATGGGGTGTGACAGACCCTACATTGCCTCCCCCACTTTCCTCTTCACCCCGAATTTCCCCTTTTGTGAAGAACAGATTCTACAAGAGTGGAAAATCCTGGCCTGACAGCTATCCACAAACATAGTAGAAACAAGGGTTGTTTAACTGAAAACTGCCAGCCCCTTCTCTACAGAAACCAAGAAAATAAAGCAGCATCACCCACTGCCTTTTAACTTTCACAAAAGCTAGCCCCAAACATTGCAGCAGATTTCCAGGCCACTATCCCCTCTGAGGCAGAAACTTTCCAGTTCATGTTCTTCCCAAAGGTGACTTTTTATGGGTGTTTTAATGAAATTAGCTCATGTATTTCAGAGTCAACAAACATAGACTAAGATCTAATTTTCATAGCTTGGCTATTTATTTTCTAACTACACAGTAGAAATAAATTCAGGAAAGCTTGAAGGAAATCTCAGTTTAGAATGCTTGGGAAGATGTGCAGTGGAGAAATCAAGAGGGACGTTATTGGGGCTGGGGTGTGGCTCCGTGACAGCTGCTGCCAGCATGCACAAGACCCTGGTTCCATCCCCAGTACCACCCACCCCCCACAGTACTATTTCACCTGGCTGTAAAAGCTGAATGCTCTCTTGAAGCCCATGGACCCAAGGGTTCACTTTCTCCCAGCACCCGCAGAACCCTTGAAGGCACAGTGACCCAGGCAGACAGCCTGGGCACCTGCCTGCATCAGCGGAGGTGTAGCAGTTCATGTGCCTGACTTTGCAGCCAGCGGAAAGAAGGGAAAGTCACTGTGACAACCAGGGATCCAGGTAGACCCCTGGACAGCCATCAGAACTGGCTGGAACAACAGAATCAGAGCTTTCCAGAGCCACTGCTGTCTGGTTGGGCAGAGGTAGACTTGTCTGGAAAGAAAATGCCCCCACCCCTTCCCATGTCTTGCGCTGGTGAGGGACACAGGAGGTATAGAGAGGCAGGGGATATAGGGAGGTGTGCCTAGGCAGAAGACTAAGCCATCTTCACTTCTGGAATCAGACAGCAAGGCTGCCCCTTCCAGCCAAGGGTTTGTTAATGTCCCCAGAGGCCAGGATTCTACTTGACCACACCACTCACCTATAACATGGGTGCTCCACTCTGTCCCAGCTTCTAGACATGGGAGAGTTTGAGAGACTGTCCCCACTCCCCTGCCCTCGGTCCCTGGACAGACATGGGTTGCACACTTCTGTCCCCTGCTCCCTGGGAGGGACACACAGGTCCTGCTTCTTTGCCCCCACCCTGGGCCCTGGAGAGTTGAGGGCTCACCCTGTAGAGTGGAGCCCATCAGGCCTGACTCTGTGAACACACACAGAGCACAAGCTGAACAGCATCACTCAGAGCCAGTCCACTACCCATCTGCACATCCAAGCCCCCAGGCAACCAAAACTGTGACCCTAAGAAGCCCAGGACAGGCAGGACCTGGCCATGGCCTGTAGACACTAGTAAGCAGGGTACAAGTAAAAGTCTGATTGCAGGCCAGTGAGGGACACAGTGTATGCAGGAAGGCAGAGCAGATGGGGCAGGGCCAGAGCCTCTCCAGCGGGTACCTGCCGACCATCATTCTCCCCCAGAACAAGGACACCAGTGTGCAGGAAAGGACACAAATCTGTTACCCTAGCATCTTCTCAGGAAGGGAACAGAGCATCCTTGGCCTGGGCACACATCATAGGACATCGAGTCTGGTGGGCAGGGAGTAGAACAGGATGTAGGGGGCAAACAGGGGCCACATGCGGACACTTAGTGTGCTGACCAGCAGCCTTGCTCCTCATGAAGCAGCCCCCATCCTAGCATCCCTGGCCATAAGAGCCCTGTGAGAAGGGAAGGGGATGACCTACCCTGGGAGACACCCTGGCACTGGCACTCGGCAAACCCAGGATCCTCACCAAGTGAGTGAAAGTCCCTGACCTGAGTCACTCGTGCCAGCCAGGGCCACCTTGATAAGCAGCAGGGCAGGTGGAGGAGGACATGGGCCACAGCACTTCTCAATCACAGCAGGACATGGCAGGCCTTTCTAGGCTCAGAAGGACATAGGCTGGCACCAGTAAGCCCTACCTTGGAAGAAGCTCTTCACCCGGAGGTAACTCACACTGAGGCGCAGGACAGAAAGTTTGTCCAGCTTGGAGATGACATCGGGCGGGAAGGGCAGCAGGCTGGCCAGGTGGTCCAGCTCTGCGTTGAGGCGGTCCCGGTGCCGCTTGGAGGGGTTTGATGTCTCAGCCCCCATGGCAGGCCTCCTGTGGGGAAGAGACATTGTCAGATGGCTGCCACCACGAGCTGCAGCCCTACAGCCACTGCCCCAAGACAAAAGCTCTCAGGACTAAAACTCAGCCAGCCCTGAAGATGTGTATCTAGAAACTGCATTATCACATCATGTCAGCAAACATAACTCAGCATATGGAGGAAACACACCGGAAGTAGAAAACAGGTTCCATAAGAACAGAGGCTCCAGCAAGGACGAAGGGCATGGCTTTCTGCTCTTACCCTGGCTTGTGCCTTGACCTCTCTGTGTCACAGTTCCCTGGGGTCAGAGGACACCTGGCCCAGGTTATCTGGGCAAAAGAGCCTGCATTCATTTAGCCTGCTTCAGGGTCCGCTTTGAAACTAACCATAGCCCAACACCATCCAGGAAAATAACAGTTCCCCCATGGGTGGTGTGCAACCCACTGAAAGATCCCCACCTGCTGTCACATGGCTCTGGGCCTCATAGCATGCAGATTTGAGTCAGGGATCAAGGGGTCAGTAAACCTGATTCTCAGCACAGGAGGCTGGGTAGGCTGCGGGTCATCTCAGGGCCACCATGGTGGACCAAGCTGGGTGCTCAGCCCTGTGTGACCCACAGAACATCTGTGCCATGGGCAGATGGGGCTTCTGCAACTCTGCTACCCAAAGGAGCCCTGCTCTTCACTCCCCAGCCACCTGTCACCTATCACCACCACCAAAGTGGGGTGGCCCAGCACCCACTGTGTACTTCACAGTAATGGCCCCTACATTTGATCCTGTCACCTCACAGTGGGTATTCCTTCACCCAACCGTGGTCACTCATTGGAGATTACTTCACCTGACCCTGTCACCTCACAGTGACAGTCCCTTCATGTGATTCTTCCTCACAGTGGCAGGTCCTTCATCTGACCTTCTCACCTCATAGTGATGGTCCTTACATCTGAGCCTGTTACTTCATAGCTACGTTCCCTTTTATCTGACCCTGTCATCTCACAATGACAGTTCCTTTGCCCAACCGTTCTGAGTACTGCACAGAAACAACTTCAACTGAGCCTCCTTCTAGATATCACCTGGCAGCCAGACTGGGATCCAGTCTCTGGAATGGTTGGGAGCAAGGAATGGTTGGCAGAACCAGAAATGGAGCTGCCCAACTTACCAGGCTGACCTTTTTGGGGGATCCTAGTGAATTTCAGGTGTGAGCAGCTGTTATGGCTTTATCTCGATGTTCTCCCTCATGTGTTCACAGGTAGGGCTTTTTCCAGGGGGCTGGATCTAAGGTGTGTGAATGTAGATTAAGGATGTGATGCTGGAATTAAGGGTATGTGCATTAGTCCATTAATTGGTTTAGCATAGTTCTGAGTGACACCACCCAAAAAGTGGGTAGATTGGATGAAACATAAAGGAACAGAAAGAATCTGCTGCTGCTTGCTGCCTTCTGCCTGCCCTGCCACACCATGAATTGCTTCTCCTCTGCTTTGCCAGGCTGCCTTGGAGCCAGCTGACTACAGACTGAAACCTCTACAAACTATGAACTGAAATAAACCTTTCCTCCTTTAACTTTGAGTGTCTGATATTTTGTCTCGGCAATCAAAAAAGTAATAAAGACAGGTGCTTTCTCTGTTTTCCAGAAGGTGGATGTCTTTTGTCCAGAATGTCCTTATTTTCTATTCTATTTGTGCCTTTTAGTAGCCAACAGCATGCATATTATATCCTAAAGAACCTATTTTATCAGAAACCCCATAGCACAAACCCTTCTGTTCTTATCATTGATTGTCCTAGGTCACAAACCAAATAGAAGTGTCTGGCAGAACGAAACTCAGAATCTATTCCTTTTGATTTATTAAACTGAGATAGAATTCACATAAAATCAACCATCTAAAAGTGAGCCACTCCTAACATTTAGGATGGTCACAAATTTGTGCACCCATCACCTTTATCTAGTTCCAGAGACCTTTATCTCCCCCAAAAGAAACTCTATTACCAACTAGAATTCTCTCTTGAGTGTTCTTCCTCCTGACCCCAGCAGAAGCCACTCTGCTTTCTGTCCATTGGATTTGCCTATTGTGGATATTTCCATAAATGAAGTAAACAAATTGAAATGATTCACCAACAGAATGCTCCCAAGCATCATCCATGTTGTAGTGTGTCACTGCTTCATTCCTTTTTATGGCTGAATCATATTCCAGTGTATGGATGGGCTATATGTTATGTATGCATTCACTAGTTGGTAAACATTTGGGTTCTCCACTTTTTGGTTGTAAATAAAGTTTCTCTGACATTGTGGTGGCACAGTTTAAAGGTCCACTTGAGTGGTTTGGGAGCTGCCTACTGGATTAGTAAAGCACACATTTGGGTATTTCTGTGTGGTTGTGTTTGGTCCCTGGCCCGTTCTTCTCCAGCACTGTTCCCCTGCTCTGCTTCCTGGTGGCTATGAACTAAGTATCTTAGATCTGTCACACCCTTCTGCCATGATATTCCTGCCTTGGAGCAGCCAACCATGGATTGAATCCTCTGAAGCCATGAGCCAGACAAACCTCTCCTCCTTTAAGCTCTGGGTGTTGAGTATTACATTCAGCGATAAAATTCTGACTAATACAGCATTCACATAGGAGATTTTGTTTGAACACTATTCTTTGAATTGTCTTGGGTTTACACATAGGGATAGAACTGGACATGCTTAGGACATGACAATGGGGAGACAATGGGGACAAAGCAAGGACATAATAAGGACATGGTAGGGGCATGGAAAACATGGAGGAGACGAAGACACAGAGGACACAGTGGGAACACATAGGGATGTGCTAGTGACACAGAAGGGACATGAGGACACAGAGGACACAAAGGAGACATGCAGGGATATGGCAATGACATGGAGGATGTCATGGGAACACTGTAGATACAGGGGATACAGTGGGGACATGACACTTTACCGCTTCTGTATAGGTTTCCTCCTCTTCCTGCCTGCATATGTGCACTCCCCCGGTGGAATCATTGTCTTCAGCCCTAAAAAAAGCCCATCAAGGCAATCACACAATGAGACCCTACATGACACCCCTAGGGCCCACCATGATGCCCCAAAGCCACCAAGAGCAGGAAGTCAGCCAGGCCCACTCCATGGTGCCCTGACCCCACACAAGTGGCCATCAGGCCATGCTGGGGAACATACTGGGGCACTGCTTAAGACCCATACACATCCACCACACTCATGTAGGTGCCAGGAGCCCAGCATACAGCTGAGGCCCGGGTAGCAGTTGCTCCCAGAGCTGAGATGTTGGAGAAACTATAGCCTCTAGAGTTCTGTTCTTCCACTGGGCCTCCACCTCCCCATCCTTTCCCAGCCCATGCTCACAGCCAAGGCTCCTGATCCTTATGTAAAATCTCTGCCCAGCTCTACCCGCTGGGCTCCCACTTTGGCCACTAACTCAGGCCACCTGGGCCTAGCTGATCATGCCTAACAGTACTGAACACAGTACGTGAAGAGGTCCTGAAGCAGCTCAGGACCTGGGCAGTTTGCCTGGCACCACAGGGGTCATCTGCTCCTGTTACCGACCCTGGACCTTTCGAAGCATGAGGACATCTGAGCCCTCACTGTCCCTTCAGACCTCTGCAACCTTGGAGGATGCAGAGGAGCCCTTGCCTGTCCTTACAGAATATGCAGTATGCAAGAGGAGGCCAATTCATAGTTTCCACCTGGGGATGCTGCTGCAACAGAGCAGAGAAGGGTATGATGGACCCACCTTGAATATAAAGACGAGGCAGTGAATGGACAGAAAGACCCACAGTGCAGACTCCAGTTTCAGATAGAGACCTCAGAACAAGGATATCACCAGAGGTGGAGGTGCTGTGCAATGATAAAGTGGCCCCTATCCAAGGAGACACAGTAACCCCGAATGTGCACATGTCCAGTAACTGAGCTTCAAAATACATGAAACAAAAACTAATCAAACTGGGACTATAATTCACTGGTGATGCTGACGTCCCTCACCGTAATAAACAGAAAAAATAGCAGGATCTCAGCCAGGGTACAGGATGCCCAAGATCAGCAGCCCTAACAACGGCACGACACAGAATGGCCACCTAGGTTGCTCTCTGCACATGGACATTCATCTGGAACTTCAGCAATCATTAGGAAATCTTTAAAAATGGAAATTGTACAAAATATCTTTCTGAAATAATGGAATTAAACCAAAAAGATATCTGGAAAATTCCCAAATATTGGAAAGCAATGTATTTCTAAATAACCATGGGTCAAAAAGAAAGTACCAAGAAATTTAAAAAACGTTTTGAACTGAAAGAAAATGAAAATGCAAATACATAAAACTTTTCAGGATGCAGCTAAGCAATACTTTGATGGAAATTCATAGTACTAAATGCCTATCTGAAAAAAATAAAGGCCTCAAACAAAAAATATAAACTCCCATCTTAAGTAACTAGAACTCAAAACAAGAGGATGGAAAGAAGAAAGAGAAGTTGTAACATTTTGAACATAAAGAAAAAATCAATGAAGCCAAGTTAAAAGCTAATAAAATTGACAAACTCTACTCAGACTGATCAAGAAATAGAGAAGACACAAATTGCTGGTAGCAGGAAGGAGCAAGGATGCACTATCTGATCCCACAGTCAGTAAGACCAGCGTGAACAGATCTGACTGGAGTCATGCTCCCCGGGTCATATGTGGAAACCCGAAGGCTCCAGGGGCCTGAGTGGGAGACAAGGCCTGTGGGGAGGCTGATAGGCTCCGACAAAACCAGTGCCCTTCAGAGAGGAATGGGAAACTCCAAACTCCTCTCCTGCCCATATCAGTTCCTGGCAAGACCAGGGCCACCTGCCAGCCAGTGAGAAGCCCCCCTCTCCAGAAACAATCAGCCAGTTCCCTGGTCTCCACCTTCTGGCCTCCAGAACCCTGTGGTATTTTACTCTGGCAGCCCAAACAACTCCGACAAGTTCTCTCCCCAGAAATTCAACAATTTGGATGAAATGGAGAAATTTCTCAAAAGCACAAACTACCAAAACTCACTCAAGAAAAAAATAGGGAACCTGGAGAGTTCTATAGTCCAGAAGAAAACCCCAGCCTGATGTGTCACCGTGTAGACCACCCATTTAAAGAAGTAAAGACAACCCTTCCACCTCTGGCAGAAAAGCAAACCAAACATTTCTTATATTTTATTTTTTTATTAGTCCATGTTTGCAGTACATAATGTTTATATTTCTTGTGAGGAGTTGGTACATGTATATTACACATCTTAATTCTTTCATCCCCTTTCTTTCCCTTCCTTTTTTTTTTTTTTTTTTTTTTGGTACCAGGGATCAAACTTGGGCCCTTGCACTTGTGAGGCAGGGGGTGGAACCTCTGAGCCAAATCTCCGTCCCCCTCTAACTGCCACCTCTTCATCCTCTTCCCATTTCAGAAAGATTTCTTTCCCTACCTCATGTTGTCTAGCTTTTATTCTGCTCTTTATTCATACTATGAGTATCTCATATAAGAGAAACCATGCAATGTTTAGACTTCTGTGTTTGACTTATCTCACTTAATGTTATAGTTTTGAGGTGCATCCATTTTCCTACAAATGGCTCAAGTTTATCTTTCTTCACAGCAGGGTAGTACTCCACTGTACATAAATACCACATCTTCCTTATCTATTTAACTGTTGATGGATGGACATACAGTCCATTTCCGAGATTTAGCTATTATGAATTCAGCTGCTATAAACATGGGTGTGCATGTATCACTGTGGTACAATGTCTTTAACTCTTTGGGGATGAGACCTAAAAGGTAAATAGCTGAGTCAAATGAAATTTCTAGATTTAGTTTTTGAGGCATCTCCATACTGATTTCCATAGTGGTCGTACAGGCTTACATTCCCACCAACGATGTAGAAAGGGTCCTTTGCCCTGCAACTTCTCCAGCCCTTGTTATTAGTTGATTTTTGAAGACAGTCATTCTTTCTGGGGTAAAATGGAATCCCAGTGTTGTTTTAATTTGCATTTCTCTAATGGCCAGTGATGCTGAGCATTTCTTCATGCATTTATTGGCCATTTGTCCTTCTTCTGTGAAGTGTCTATTCATTTTGCTTGCCCATTTTTTGATTGGGTCTTTTATTTTGGAGGGATCTAATTTTTTTTAGATCTTCATATAGTCTAGGTATTAGTCCTCATCTGAAAAAATAGTTGGCAAAAACTTTTTCCTGTTCTATGGGTTGTCTTTTCATTCTATTGGTTGTTTCTTTTACTATGAGGAAGCCTTTTGATTTGATATGATTCCATTTGTTGATTCTTGATACTTTAACCTGTGCAGTTGGGGTTCTTTTCAGAAAATCTTTTCAAACCAAGCATTTAATTCATGTGAGTGAAGCCCTGATATCAAAGCAGATACAGTGGCTCCTCAGTTCACAAACTTGATTCTCTCCACAATTCAGGTTGCAAACCAAGTTGGATGGGAACAGAATCAAATTCAATGGTCAGGTTCAATACTGATTTCATGAGGAAATTTGATATGGCTCTTGTTGTTTGATTTGCAGCCAGAATCACGGAGAGAACTGAGTGCATGAACCAAGGTACCACTGTACATTGTAAGAAATGAAAACTGCAGATCAACATCCCTCATGGAACAGAGACACAAAAATTATCAATTAATAATAAGCAATATGCAAAGCAGATACTATATCACAACCCATGAGGATTTTTATCCTGGGAACTCAACACCCAAGAACTACTCACTGTAGCTCACTGTACTAATAAACCAAAGGAATAAAATACATATGATGATCTCGACACATGCAAAAAGTCTGACAAATCCAAATTCATTTATAAACTTTAAAGCTCTCACTGAACCTGGAATAGAAAGAATTTAATTATCTTGACAAAGGGCATCTACAAAAGCCTACTCCATGGTGAAATACTGACTGCTTCCCCTGAGCTACAAATGAGGCAAAATGTTCCACATCTCCACTCCCACCACACACCACATCCAGGTCATAAGGTGTGGTCATAGCCAGGCAATAAGGTGAGAGAAAAAGGTCACAAAATGTGAAAGGAGGAAACCAAATTCAAGCTGTTAATGGACAATATGATGTGCCTGTAGAAAAGTCTAAAAAATTTACTAAAAAAAAAATCCTCTAATTTTTGTTTTGGGCAAGGTCACAGGGTAAAAGGACAATATACAAAAATGTTTCTATTACTAGCAATGATCTACTAGCACTCAGGGTTTTTTAAAATCATAGCAGCCAAATAAAATAAAGTACTTAGGTATTTTTCACAGTCCTAATGTGTGGTCCCCTAATAATAGGAGGTAAAGGGGAGTAGAAACAAAACTTAAAGAAATAATAGGAGACATGGGGATGGATCTCTTGCAAAAAGAAAGGGGTCTTGGAGACCAAGTCAAGGGATAAAGTGGGATAAAGATGTGTCATGTAGAGGAACCTAATAACATCAGTGAGTGCAAACATCACATGCTATAAACATGTGCAAGGGTTGATAATAACAACAAGGAAGGGCTACGGATTTAGCTCAGTGGCGCCATGCCTACCAGGCACAGTTCAATTCCTGATACTGGGGGAAAAATGACCAACAAAACAAAAATAAAATCAACAAGAATGAAAATGGGGAAAGAACTAAAGGCAGAAGGTGGGAGGGGGAGGCAAAGAAGAAGGGGATTAAAAAAAGAAATAAGTTGTATTATGTACATATGCTCTTTCCCCAAGATGACTGTACCCTGCATGTATTGCAAATGTGTACTAATAAGAAAGTAATCAGGGAGCTGGGGATTTAGCTCAGCGGTTCCACAAGGACCTGAGTTTGATCCCAGGTACAAAAAAAAAAAAAAAAAAAAAAAAAAAAAAAAAAA